ATCTCCATTTCAGCTAAAGCCATCGTCAGTCTTTCTCTTTATTGAACTCCACTTTCAGATTCTGGATTGTGCTTGTCATTTCCATCATTCTTATATTTTTGCGGTTTTTCTCTTTTTTCCTGTTGTTGTTTTGATTTGGGAAAAGCAGCACATGTGAAAAAGATGCCATGAAACAGAATTCAAGCAGAGGGTTTTGTTTTGTTTTGTTTTAATTAGGGGAAATGATCATAAAAACTGGAAAGGGGAAGAGGTAGATCAGCCTGCTGAGACAGGAGCAACAGGAGAGAGGAAAGAGAGGGAGAGAGGAGAAAGAAAAGTGTAGAGAAGAGAGAACAGAGAAGAGAGAGGGAGAAAGAGAAAAGGGGGGATGGGAAGTGAGTAGGACCCTTTTACAAGGGAACATAGTGAATGTGCACAGGTGGTGCTCTCAGTCGTTGGAGCTGAAGATGTATCCTGTCAGAACCCCAAGGGCAGGCCAGTACAGCTGTCTGAATACTAATAGTTGTAGGGCACCAATAAGCAATTTATTCTCCTTAACTTCATTATCTTTAATGGTAGAGAGTGTTTGGTTTTTTCATTGAGGGAGGAGTTTATACAACACAGTCAGTGTTGAAATCCCAAGGCTGACCACATGTGCCTTATATCCCTACCTACCCCTTCCATAAACTAAGATTGCACACATGTGTCACCATACTGGCTTCTCTCTCTCTCTCTCTCTCTCTCTCTCTCTCTCTCTCTCTCTCTCTCTCTCTCTCTCTCTATTTACATGGTGTCCAGTGAACCTCTTACACTCCCTTGGTGCTCTTTAGTACATTCATTGACTGGTTTCTTGATTGACTGACTGACAGACTGTGTACCTGTGTTTGTATGTAGATACACATAACATGCCATGCACATGCAGATGACAGTGTCTTTCTTTCCACTGTGTGAGTGGTCAGGATCCACTTCATGCCATCAGGCTTTGCTGAAGGGTCTTTTTGTGCCAAGCTAACATGCAGAGCTTTAGTGTTCTTTCATGTCTTGTTCATACTCTTGTAATTTTTTGCCAGCATTTATGTTTGTCCAGGCTTTCTTGTGCCTTAGCATGTGATGTCAGGTGTTTATTGTTTTCCATCACTGTGGTATTTTCAGCCTCACCCTTGACTTTTTCAGACTTCATTACATGGTATATTTGTAACATTCTTTATTGTATATATGGTCCTATTTAGTTTGTGATCTAACAAATAAAGCTTGTCTCAAGGTCAGAGTGCAGAGTTAAGCCATGAGTTAGCCATAGGGGCCAAGCAGTGGTGGCACACACCTATAATACCAGCACTTGGGGGTCATATGCCTTTATTTCCAGATTTTGGGAGGAGGAAGCAGGAAGGTCAGGAGTTAAAGGCCACCCTGGGCTACATGAGACTGGATCAGTATACAAGATAAAACAGAGTCACATGGTGATCGCTCATATCTTCAATCTCAGCACTAGGGAGGGGGAGACCAGAAGGAATGGGGCTGGGCAGAGAGGGGAATATAAGGCAGGAGGAGACAGGAGCCCAGCCTTCAGCCTGAGGTATTGTAGAGACAGGATGCACTCAGCCTGAGTATTCCTAGAGAGAGGATTTCCCATGTGGTCTGCATTGGTAGAGGTGAGAACTCTCTAGTGCTTCTCTGATCTTTCACCATTAACTCTGGGGTTCTATTATTAAGAACAATATGAATTCATGATATGTACATATATATACATATACATATATATACATACATATATATAATATATATATATATATATATATATATATAGAGAGAGAGAGAGAGAGAGAGAGAGAGAGAGAGAGAGACCAATGGCTGAAACTTATGTCCCCTGGTACACTGTCACTTGCATCTCTCTGTACATGCTCAGGAAGCCAGGCCTCAGCCTAGAGTTGCTGGATCAGATCTGCATGTTCATTGTGTTTATCATTCGTGATTGTTCATATTGGGTGAGAAGTGCCCTCTCCATCACCATGGCTCTTTACTGTGAGAATGGACATTCATTTTATGGTCTTTTGATACAAGAATGGGACAAAACACATGTTTTATTTCAAACTTGTATTTTTAAATTATGTAGTGTGCATGGTTGTTCTTCTAGTGTCCATGTCTGAGAGATTGTCTGATCCTCTGGAACTGGAGTTAAAGACAATTGGGAACAGCCGTGTGGCTCCTGGGAATCAAGCCCAGATCCTCTGGAAGAGCAGCCAGTGCTGTTTGCTCCTGAGCCATCTCTCCAACTTCAACATACACTTCTGTAGACACACCTGCTCTCCATTGTATGGATCTTAAAAGTATAATTTCTATGGGAGTTTCTAGAGTCTTCTGCCATTCAGTTTCCTTAATCATAAGTCCTGTGCTAATCACAGAACCAAATGAGACTTCTTTATGGATATTGCTTTTCCTGTATCAGCTGTGCTTGTAGGTCTCCTCTCTGGGTCACTGTTACATTTATATCTAGAAGCACATATGTCTACAGGTATTCATGTTTTTATCAGAAGTTTCTGTTAGTATAATGTATAGCATTCATTCTTTTTTCTTTATTTCAGGAAATGCTGTCATTTGGGGATGTGGCCATAGATTTCTCTGCAGAGGAGCGTGAATGCCTGGAGCCTGCTCAGTGGAATCTGTACAGGGATGTGATGTTGGAGAATTTCAGCAACCTTGCATTCCTAGGTGGGTTGCTCTTTGGTTTTCAATTGTAGTTGCCTTTTAAACCATGACTGTCCTCATCAGGAACTGCAACTCCTCTGCTACCAGCAGCTGTTAGGCCACAGGAGCAGCAGCCTGGGAGATTTCGCTTTCCTCAGGCACTGAACTCTTTCAAAGCTAGGAAGAGAACTTATCTAAATCTCTGTCCTCCTAAAGAACTCAAGATTCAAAGATTGAGATGGGATTCTTCTCCTCAGAGGCTGAATAGCAAGTACCTCACCTTCTTTCCTTACTCATGTCTCTCAAAAAGGCCTCCTTCTCCTCAGCCCTCAGTGGATAAAGGATAAATAGCCTTTATCCACTTGGCTCCTCCCTACCACTTCCTGTCTTAACCTTCTTAGCACATGTGAATTTTATGTATTCAAATACATTTTTGTATCAATAAAGAAATGTTCCAGAGCATAAACAAAAGTAACACATCTGAAAATAATATTCTTCATCATGGGTGAGGAATACTTCCATGATGAACTCTTAATTGTCATGATCAAACTATCTTTATACAGTATCACATGGGAGCTCGTACTTCAAAAGTGAAATTTGTGGGCAAATTTTAAGGAAAATTAAGAAGAGTATTCATATACCTGAGAATGATTTTTATTTATTCTTATGTTCACAACCTCCCCCTTTTAGAAGGATCCTTTATATTCATGGTAATGTTATAACATAAGTGGCATTAGTGGAAAGTATACAAGTTAAAAAGAATGTTACACTCTTTTCATATTTTTCCTTCTAGCTGAGGAACATGAATGTAACAACATGCAAATTTTAAATTCCTTCAAGCATCTGTTGTATCTTTTCATTCCTTATACATATAGCATATAGTCCTAGAGAGGGCATGTGATCTCCAGGAGCACACACTAATTATGCTGTTCTCTTTTCCCATGAACAGGTCTTGCTTCCAGTAAACCATACCTGGTCACATTTCTGGAGCAAAGTCTAGGTCCTTCAGATATGAAGAGACCAGCAGCTGCTGACATGCATACAGGTGTGTAGGAATGGGGAAAGGGACAATGACAAAGTGGGAGGCCTGAGATGCAGCAGGAAGCCTGGCTTTGTCATGAACACTGACTCACAGTGTTCTGTGGAGATCAGTTTTAAGGGTCTCCTTGTCTATGTTTTGCTGTGACAAAAGGATGTTATGATACATGGATTCTCTAATGCTTTCTCCTTTTCCCATTAGGTCAGCTAAGTTTACAGTGAATGCATACATTCTATAATTTCTAGGTGACTGTGATTTTCTTTGTATAAGTTAATCAATCGGTATTCATTCATTATGTCTTTTTCACAAGTTGATCAATGAATTTAATTTATTAACTGAGCATAGATCCTACTTCCTTCAGTCCATGAAATACATTATTTATTATTGTTGTGGACAGATTTCTAGTGATGAAGTCTATCTTTCATACTTTCCAAAACTAGAAATCTGTGCTGAGGATACATACATACATACATACATACATACATACATACATACGAGAGAACATGTGTCTCCAAACTGTGACTACTTTAATACTTTGTGTTCATTTAGTTATAAAATTTCTATATTTCTTTAAGCAGCTCATTTCTAATAGCATAATAATCTTATTTTCTTAATTGATCTTATGCTGTCCTTGTTAGGGACCTCACCATCCTCACAACCTCAGGTCTCTGAGATAGAAAATTACTGCCTCTTAAGAACTAAGCAGAATGTTCAGCAGAGTATTCCCAGATACAGGCTTGTGGGTTTTACAGCCAGTTACAGAGTAGCTCTGGGCTATACCCCCTGCTGCAGTTTTATAGCCAGCTAAAGATTGTTTCAAGGCAATTCTTCTACTGACCTCCTCACCCTGCCTGCCTGCAAACCCTGCTCATATCTTGCCTATGGTCCAATATAAACTTCTCCTGAGAAAATAAAGTTTGTCAGCTTGATCAGAATACTGTCTTTCTGTCTGGTCTCTGTATTCCTTGTCCCCATTCTCTCCTAGGTGTCCTGGTTCCTGGTTGACTGCCCCACAGGTCAGGGCACTTCCTTACATGTTTGACTTTGACTAATATTCTTTGTTCCCCTATGTTCTACATAGTCATCATCTTCATCTTCCACTGCAAGTTGCACAATTTTCACCTATTACTATGGTTTTTTAATTTGACTCCCAGAAAATAACTTTAGAAATTTTAATGTAACTCATTATTCATATTTTAACATGCAGGTGTGAGTAAATGTTTCTGTAGTTAAAAATGAACAAAAATACAGAGAATTTTGCTAACTTTTCATTCATTTCTTAACTTTATTCACTAGGAAAAAAACACTCTACAGGAAAAGAATGTGGCATTACCCTTCCTTGGAACTCACAATCCATTAACCACCAGAAAATTAATTTAAGCAATAAGCCCTATATGTGTGAAGAATGTGGTAAGGCCTTTCGATTTCCATCACTTCTCTATGTGCACCAGAAAAGTCATACAGGAGAAAAACCCTTCAAATGTGAAGTATGTGACAAGGCCTTCTATATCCCATCACAACTATCTGTACACATGAGGATTCACACAGGAGAGAAACCTTACAAGTGTGCACTATGTGACAAGGCCTTCTATCGTCGATCAGGACTTTCTGTACACAAGAAAGTTCATACAGGAGAAAAACCCTACAAGTGTGAACTATGTGACAAGGCCTTCTATATACCATCACAACTATCTATACACATGAGGATTCATACAGGGGAGAAACCTTACAAGTGTGATGTATGTGATAAGGCCTTCAATCGTATATCAGCACTTTATGTACACAAGAAAATTCATACAGGAGAGAAACCCTACAAATGTGAAGTATGTGACAAGACCTTCAATATTCCATCACGACTGTCTGTACACATGAGGATTCATACAGGAGAGAAACCTTACAAGTGTGAACTATGTGACAAGGCCTTTGTTCATCCTTCAGGACTTTACGTACACAAGAATATTCATACAGGAGAGAAACCCTACAAGTGTGAAGTATGTGGTAAGGCCTTCCCTTTTCCATCATTTCTTTCTGTACACAAGAGAAGTCATACAGGAGAGAAACCCTTCAAGTGTGAAGAATGTGACAAGGCCTTCTGTGTTGCATCACAGCTTTCTGTACACATTAGGATTCATACAGGAGAGAAACCTTACAAGTGTGAAGTATGTGGCAAGGCCTTCCATGCTGCATCATTACTTAAAGTACATGAGAGAATTCATACAGGACAGAGACCCTACAAGTGTGACCTATGTGACAAGGCCTTCTATATTCCATCACAGCTATCTGTACACATGAGGATTCATACAGGAGAGAAACCTTACAAGTGTGAAGTATGTGGCAAGGCCTTCCCTGTTTCATCACGACTTTCCATACACAAGAGAATCCATACAGGAGAGAAACCTTTCAGTTGTGAAGTTTGTGGCAAAGCCTTCCATTATCCATCATTACTTTATAAACACAAAGAAATTCATACAGGAATGTAAACCTACAAGTATTAAGTATGTGGTAAGGCCTACAACTGTCCATTAGGACGTTCCAAACAAAGAAAATTCATATAGGAGAGAAACCTTACAAGTGAAGTATGTGGTAAGACCCTCAATCATCCTCTAGGACTATCTGTACTCAAGAGCATTCATACAGGAGAGGAACCCTACAAGTGTAAAGTATGTGGCAAATTTTTCCATTTTTCCTTACTACTTTCAATACTTTCATGCAGGAGAGAAACCCTAGAAATGTGAAATACGTTGCAAGGTCTTTAAAACTTCCCAGATTCTTTCAGCTCACTAGATAATCCATTGTGGAAAGAAACCCCACAAGTGTGAGCAGTGTGGAAAATCCTTCTATATGAAGTCACACCTATCTCAGCACAGATGAACTCACACTGGGGAGAAACATTACAAATGTGAAGACTGGCAAACTGTACAAGTGTACCAGAAACCTCAAGGAATACCAAAGAATTCATTCTGGGGAGAAACTACAAGTATAAAGAATGTGGCAAAGAGTTTAAAACTTATGCAACATGTTCTATATACCAGACTAGTCACATGGAGAGAAACATTACTAGTGTGGAGAATGGCAAGGCCTATCTCCAGTCTTCTGGTCTTACAACAGCAAAGAATTCATTTGAGAGAGAAAGCCTGTAGAGAATGTGCCAAGGTCTTTGGCAATTCCTAAGATCTTTTAAAACACCTAGTAATTATACTGGAAAGAAATGCCACTAGTGTCAAAAAAACATTAAAAACCTTCTAATTTCTAGTTTTTCACAACCCAAGGTAGTTTAAACTTAAATAATACAAATGTTTAAATTTCATAACATGTTTTCTACTTTTTACTTCTTTAAAAGAAGAATATCAAAAAATATTGTGAATAGAAGCCATACAAATAGGGAGAATGTGGTAAAGCTTTTGGAATCATTGAGATGTTACCCAGGATAAAAGAATCCATAGTACAAGGATGAGGGTAGTGAGGTACTTTACCATTCTATCAACATTTCCCGAACTTAGAATTATCCCAAAGGGAAACAACATAACTGTGAATGGTGTCACAATGCCTTTAACAAGCCTTCATGCCTTCAGCTAGTCAATTCAACCTTCCTAATGCTGATATCCTATAATACAGTTCCTCATGTTATGGTGACTCCAACCATAAAATTGTTTTCTTTGCTACCTCCAACCTAACAGTTTGCTACTGTTATGAATCATGATATAAATATCCTTGTATCCAATGGTGTTAGGTGTCCCCTGTGAAAAGATCATTTGAACTCCAAAAGGTCATGACTGCTGCCTTAAACAAAGGTATTCATACTAAGCAACTCCCCTAGAAATGTGCAGAGCATTGAGAAAATTTTTTTTTGATGATTCATCCCTTCTTCAGCATCAAGGAAGTCACAAATGACTCTGCAAATGTAGAATATGGCCAGGTGTTTAGTTATTCCTCTTGCCTTTGTCTGCGTTATAGGGTTATTATTTGTAAGTTGCATGTTGAAGGCTAAGATTATGGCAAGACTTTTACCTGACTTTCACATAGGAAGTATCCTCTAAGATTTAATAGTAGTGAAAAACACTGTAGACCCAAATAATTCAGAAAGCTTTCAATAATATTTTGATTCATCAACACCAAATTCTACATGTCTAAGTGATAAAAAAAAAAAACTTGTATAATATTCCAATCTTCACCAACACCAAAGAAAATTTATTGAGAAGAAATAATTCAATTTCTGATGTCCTTGGTTGATTCTGCTCTCAACTTCACACAGCCCATTACTATGTATGAGTCTCACTTGTCTAGATTTCATGATGACTGTCCTATGGACATGTCTGTGGGTTATTTTATTTATGTTAATTGATGTAGTAGAATCTAGACCACTGAATGATGGCAGTGCACCATGCATGTGCCACCCTTGGCTTGGCTAGGACTCTAATCATTCTTAATAAGAAGAAATAAGAGTTGGCTTTCGGGGTAAAACCTGAGGGATCAGAGAAGCACTCAGCCAGGCACTAGAGTTCTTACCTCTACCAATGCTCCAGACAGTGGGATGATCCTGTCCTCAGGCTGATGCCTTTTTCAGACTACATCCTCAGACTGCTTCAGACTGACTCTGCTCAGACCTCACTGAGAGCTCTTGTCTCTTCTTGCCTTATATTGTCCTCTGCCCAGCCATATCACTCCTGTCACCACCTCCCTAGTGCTGGAATTAAATTTGTATGATCCAAAATGCTGGGATCACTGTTGCGTGAGCTGTTTCTCTTTTGGAATGGATTTCCTGTATCTCAGGTTGGCCTTGAATTAACAGGGATTTGTCTTTGTCTCCTGAGTGCTGGGATAAGTGTGTGTCACCACTGCTTGGCCTCTATGGGTAACTAGTGTTGCTAGCTCAGTGCTCTGATACTCAGGAAAGCTTTATTTGTTAGATCATAAACAAAATTCTGTGTATTTCCCCCTGTCTGTCTAAAATAAAAAAGATTATAAGAAAAACTATACAATAAAGGCAATAAATACATCAACAATGATAATCCATTTTCATTTGACTAATTCAGAGAAAACAGTCTATCCTAATGTTGTGATTCCAAAGTCTTGTAGCTAATTCATTTTCTAGCCTAATAGGAAGTACCGTCCAGTACCATCTTTTGATCTCTCTCAACCTTATACACGTAAAATATCTTTAGTGAGTTTCTTTATTGAGTCAGGTAAACAAGGAAAACTTTTAACTATAACTATCTAGTCTTGAACTCCTTCAGAGACCTAAGAAGGAAATAACATGAAATGAGTAAGCAGGAAGTGCAAGCAAGCAATTTCCAAAAACCGTGTGTTGGTTTGAGCTCCCTCATTCATGTTTGGGAGCCTTGCATTCCCACCTTTCCCTGTTCTCTGTTTCTCTGCATCCCCATCTCTTCCCCCTTTGGGACCTGCTCCTCTGCCTGCATAAGGGCGTAAGTCTCTTTCTTCTGTTTGTTCTTTCCCTGTTGACTTCCCCCAACCCCTCGGCCCTCCTGTTCCTGGGCATCCCGTCTGAAGCTGATGAGCTGATCTGCCACCACAACTCAGTGCTCTGATGCTCTGTGGCTGGCGTGTTCAGCTGTGGCAGCTATGCTAGAATTTCTGTTAGAAACATCCCACTTATTGTGTGGGGATGGATGGAAGTGTGGCCACGGTATGTTTGTTTTGGGCTGGTCTTGGATGCCTGAGTGTAGTGTACATATTCCATGTGTCTTGGTAACAACTATATATGTGGGCTCAGATTTTGCATCTGGGCTTTTCTTGCCCTGAATCTGATATGAGAGAAACACTTATTTTATGCTATTCTGTCAAAAAAGAACAAAGAAAGAAAAATAAAGAGCTAAGAAATTTATGTTTTAAATCCTGTAAAACTTGTAATTCCAAATTGGAACTGCTCTGGAAAGCAACTCATAGTCTGGCACTACCCTAATTAAGTACAGCTAACTGTTGTGCCCAGTCTCTGAATACTCAAAACCACCAAGAGGCCGGACCCAATGAAAAAGCCGGAGCCTTTAGTTTTATAAGTTAACTGGTGTTAACTCAGGTCTTCTGTCTGTGGGACACAGCTGGTGGAGTAGGAGGGACCCCAAGCAGCAGTTGGGCAGGGAATATATTGAGTAGAGCAAGGGGAGTGTCTGCGGGGGTGGGCATGGGCGTGGGGGTGGGGAAATCTGCTAGTTGCATAGCAACTGTCTCAGGTGCACCTCCAGTCTTGGGCATCCTACAGTGAGTTGATCATTCACTGTGTGTTGCTGTGTGTAGAAACCATCCCAGGGCAGTTGTTATGCTCTGTGTTACACTGTTATCAGTAAAGCACATCCAGAGCCTGCCAACTAACTCCTGCTTTGTTCCTTGTCACATGGAGGGTATCAGGCTTCCTAAGGAGTAGGGCAAGGTCACTCAGCACATGTTGCTAAGTCAGAGGCCTACTTCTTGCTGGATCTTTTCTGCAGCCTGTCATGGCTACCAAAGCAGAGGACTGGGTGAGGGGCTGGGCCCTTCACTAGCCACATGGACAGCCACCATTTTGATTAATGAGAAGGAAGTCATATGACTTCCCCACCATCTTGAATAAAGCTGACCACATGGAGTGAGTGGCCCCACAAAGGAGACATTGTGTCTCCACTATATTTTAGCCATATGAAAATTCCTGTCCTGTCCTAAAAGCAGGGTTTATAGAAGGTAAGATTCAAGGCAATACTGGTTTCCTGGGGTATTAAAGGTGCACCTCCATGCATTCATGTACAGGGATGTATCTTTCTGACAGTCAGATTATATAGCATAAAAGTATTCCCTTTATTATTGATTTTTAAAACACTAAATTGTTTGCAATGTTAAAACTTGGTTTTGTGTTAGGACTGCAGCTTGAAGGGGTCAGACCCTCAGCCATTCCCCTGCTTTTAGCAATATTGACTGAACTGCCCTCCTGTCTTTTATTCTGTGTCTCTGTCTTTTCTTTATTGTCTATAGCTAATCTTTCCCTCATGCCCACACCCCCACTCAGGTAGGAACTGAACTTAGGGCCTCTCGTCTGGTTCTGATTGCAGCCCCAAAAAGACATCTCCTGACATCTCCCCAATCCCTACCCCATAAGAAAGTCTGTGAGATATTCTGGACTTTGCAGCTGAAGACTGGAATTTCTGTCTCCCAATGTCCACAGAGTTACCTGGGACAGCTGCCTTTGGTAGCTGGTAAGCTGTCTCACTTCTGCTCATTTGTTTATCCCTCTCAGATCTGAGGATGTTTGATGACTAGGGTGGCCTTCCAGGTTTAACAGCCCCCCCCACCCCTCAAAATGACAGATAGTTTCCGAAGTTCTTAAATTCCTGTGGATTTTACTGGTCCCACCTTTTAGGACTGCATAGAGGCTTTTTTCTATGACACCAAGATGTAAATATGTTTCAGTTGTTTTACAGACATCTGCATGTATGTGGAAAAGGGCTCTGCTACTGTGTCAAGAAATCTGGCCTGGTGGAAACTAATATCAGTCACTAGAAAACCCCTTTTGGCCGGACCCATCTTTAAGTATATTTTACAGATCCATTCCTCCTGCCAGACATGTGCCAAGGCCAACTCACAGGAGGCCCTTCAGATACACCAGTCCATAACCAGGCCCACCTCTAAGGATGCCAATACAGACAGTGAATACTGACAGGATGACTCCACCTGCATTCCCACCTCCAGGGAAGCAGCAGATGTGTTGACTCGGGCATCCCTCAACATATCCTTCTCTGATTAGGCATGCCACCGCCCCCCAAGGTCCTGGTCCATCAGTACTGGTGCCACCATCCTGACTCAGTCATCTATGCATGATTGTCAGAAGCTGTCTTTGCGGGGGCTGTAATTAGAGCCAGGCTAGCAGCCCTAGTAGGTTCGTGCCCGAGTAGGGTAGTGTGGATAAGGGAAAGGCTAGCTAAAAGGAGTTAAGAATCCAAGACATAGACACAGGATAGTTCTCGGGAGGGCAGATTCAATCCATACTGAATATGCTTAGTTTATTCTTCAACATGTTTAAGTATCCAACCAAAAAGTGGGGACAATGGCAGAAGACTTCTATTATCACGTATAAGGGGCAAAGTGACTTCCTTAATCCTCCAGGTATTTGGTAGCCACAGGTGCCATCCAGCTTTCAGGGTTGAGAGGAAATGCACCTGGGCCCAAGTCTATTGTTATTTAGATAAGAGATATCTAGCACTAAGGCCAGAACAACCTGTGGAGGCCAAACTAATGCCATAGGCAATAATTAGATTTGAGCTCTCTGAACTTGTGGCTAAATAGAATGGACTCCTTTTCATGGGTCCTGATAATCCCCCCTTCTTAAATTAATAAATAATGCCTGTGCTTCTGCAAAAGGACAGATAGATAGTCTCCTTCCAACTTCCAGTGCTTACCATCTTCCGACTACATATTCCATCATGTGTGACCTGTCTTAGCTCTCCTGGAGGCAAGAAGATCTTACCCATCCCTGACTACCTGCCTCTGTAATACAAAACCATTAGGAGGTGGTGCATATTGTAATGCTATGTACCTCTGAGCCAGCTTTTCATTGAGAGTTCACAAGCAAGCTTGATAATGCTAAGTAATGCACATGCTTTTGTGGCTACAACATCTCCTGCAAAAGGAGAGGAGGAATCGAGATAAAATGGCCTTTCAAAATTAGTCTGGGTTGTTCTGAGTAGCTTTTGCTGTATCAAAATCTAAATCTGCCTTTTTAATTACATTGGATACAAAGACTCATAAGCATCAAGTCAAATTCCTATCAGAATGACCTCTGACATTTCACACTCATAAACACTTACATAACACAGCAAAAGTTGCAAACATTACTAATTCCAGTATAGCTAATAACAGTAGGCATACAACTGGCAGGATTACAAGTCTCATAATTTCAATTCAATCAAAGGATGATAAAAAAATGTTCTCTTGGTAAGTGAAGTATGAATGACTCCACAATTCTGAACCTTTTCTTTTTCCCTTTCCAAAGTACAATGCATTGCTGCTTGTAAAGTTCAAAGATAAGTTTGAGATACCATACTTCTTGAGTGTTGAGTACCAGCTGGCAAACTTTTGTCCATCCTCTCTTCATATGCTGAGGGGTTTTCATGAATCATTTCAATAATAGTGTCCAATTGTTCTAAATGAGTCCTTTTCCCCAAAGGGAAAAAACTGCAAAATAAGTTCTGTGTCCCAAGATGTGGTGTGGATAACTCCTAAACATTTAGTCCTTGGCTGGATCCAGGATGAAAACTCACAGGCCTATAAGTCGATGCAGAAGGCTTGCTGAGAAACTGGAAATCTTGAAATGACAATCTCCTTTTCTTCTCAGACTGTGGAATCAATGACATCAGAGTGTTGGGAACAGCTTTCAGCAGGTCTCACTCATGCATGGAGCAAAGGAATGGCAGACTTGTGACCGCAGGAGTCTGCCCAAGTGAGCCACAGAAAGACGGAAAGTATACAGAAAGACTGGATTCTGTGTTATTGTGTTGGTTTTGAGGTTTTTGAAAGCTGAGCAAAACACAGCTGCTGACAGACATGGTTTTGAAAGAGGGAAACATGGACATGCCACAGATCTCTGTTGTTGGGCAGGTCATAGTTAGTGATGAGGACCAACTGAGGGACATATGACACTGTGCCAAGAAGTCTATGGAAATGGCCACCAGCTGGCAACTGACTGAAACTCCTTCATGACGGTCTGGTTCTTTCTGTAGCCTGTCCATGCACGGACAGCACAGTGACACGGGCTTCTCTCATCTTCTCTGTCAACAGTCAGCCTTCCTCTTGATGTCAAAGATGACAGGTCATCCTGTCATAGAGATCACACAGTGTCAAACTTCTGTTCCTCCCTTTCCATTGCCGTAAGAAAGGTTTGATGCCTTACAGACTCAGTTCATCACACTTCACCAATCATGTATGGGCTCAGTCATGGACTTGCTGGTCATCTCCAGAACCTCCTGAAGCAATGTGGCACTGATGGGTACTGCCTGTGTGGCTGGTGACAGGTTCCTGTATACATCATCCATTTGCTCCTTGAAATCTTTGTTCAACATCTCACCTGCCTCTTCTGAAACCAACATCTAAGTAGCCCATGTGCTTAAACTCCTATAGGGAATCACATGAAAGAACCATATCCCTGTGTGCCTGCCACAACGTACTGCCCATAGTCCAGCTGCCAGTAGAGACTTCAGGTGTCAGCCCAAGGCCTAATAAATTAACATACCTAAATCTATAGGAATTTGCCCACAAGATGACCCTGCCTAATTAGCCACCCACAGCAAAGCTGTTGTGGGATTTACTACTGAGATTTTAGGGCCCCTAAATCAATAAAACAGTACAAGAGTTCTTATCAATGCTGTTAAAAGTTTACTGACCAGAGACAATGATTATTCTCTAAACTCAGTAAATCAAATCCCTGGTATGCTGACCACAAGCAGTCCAAAATAAACAGAGGTTCCCTGCTACACACTTGCTTAGATGTATTTACGATATCATGCTCCAAAGTAATTGCTGACATTTCTATAGTATGTCTGTAATTTTAAACTGTGGCAAAAGATCTGTTCCTTGAACTTTCTGCATAAAAACCTGATACTCTGAAGTAAAAATCGCAGCAGTTGCAAACCTCCTAGAGTGTGTTTGTGGCCGAAGCCACTCCTGGCCTGTTCATCCAAGTGTTGGTCACCCCACAGACCAGTCATCCACTGAAAGGTCTCTGGCAGTTATAGACCAGCATGACTTCTACTTCAGTGATCCAGCTCTATCGGCTTCCTGAGTACTGGGATGAAAGGTGTGTGCCACCATGCCAACTTTAAATTTTTTAATTATATATACTTTCTATCATTTTTACCAGTTGTGTGTATATGTATGTATGTATGTGGATATCAGTGTGTCTTTGTGTCCATCTATACATGAGCTTGAAGATGTCAAATACGGAAGTCAGATCCCCTAGAATTGCTGCTACTTGTGCTTGAGAGCCACCATATGCACACTGGAAAATAAACTCACATCCCTTGCAAGAACAGTAAATTTCCTTAGTTACTGAACCACCTTTTTAGCCTACAAGAGTACATTTTAAAGTGATTGGACCACACATCACCTGTAATGCAACATGCTAAAATGGGAGGAAATTGAAAAAGTTATTAAAATATTGTTATAGGCAATAAAGTTAAAATTGTCAACTTGGGCTAAGCAAACATATTTGGCCTAAGAATCCAGCTGTGGTATACTTTTCCACAACTATGCCTGAGTCTCTAACATCCTACCTGTAGGGTGTTCTGTGTTGCATGGGCAGGCAAAAGGATAGGTAACTCCAATATGAAGTTTTAGGCCTGTGTGGCAGCAGGAAGGTCCAGCATCTGAGGATTAATCCTTGAACAGCCATTCGAAGTCATATTTAATGATTGTTACACAAAGTGGTATATTGGGTACACAAGTTCCTCTTACTAAAGTCCTTGAGATATCTGTCTCCTGAAGGAAAGCAACAGACCCCTCCTACTGAGGTCTGTATTGTGATCACACCCCTTATTGTGTACCATTGGCAGCACCCAACAATCCAAGAGCTTCAGGAGTGCCACAGGCACTCAGAGGAGAGGGGAAGTTCAATAATGAAGAGGAAACGTAACTCAGAAGGAAACCCTAATGATGGACCAGGAGATGGTGCACACTCCAGTGTGATCCCAGGAGCTGTGCCCTCCTCCTGGGGGAGATGCAGAGGAGGAAAGCCTGTGCTCAGAGAACACCTGGTGCTGACTCCTTGCCTGAGTAGTGAGAAGCCAGGGAGGAGTGTGTGAGGTCTTTGTGGAAGAGCAGACCCTGAATTTATATTTATTACACAGGTTAATAGGTGAACGTGTGGGAAAGGAATTTACAGACAGAAAGATCTGGGATGGATTCTGGAATTTCATTGCAAGCAAACGTCAGAGATCTGCAGTTTCCATTTTGTTTAATGACTTTAAACATCTGTGTACCTGACCCATGCCCTTCACTGTGTGGATTCCAGGGTTCATATAAACCCCATTCCACCTGTGGAGTCTGGTCCATGCGTGGCTCACACTGTGTAAGCAGAGGATATTAAAGAAAAGCCATCTTCATCATAGCCATGTTCTTTACCCTGAGCTAGCCCACTGTCCATCTTCTACATTGTGCTTATATGTAACACATCTATAAATTGTCATTGTTAGCCTTGTTTTCTGGTTCTTCTGTCTTTAGCTCCTGAGACACTGGATGACAGGCAGGGTCACCAAGGGCAGCTTCAAAAAGCATCTTGAAAAGATGATGCTCAGTCCTACATTAGCTTCCTGATTCCTTATTATAAGTAAAACAGATGAATCTGAGTTTCCATGCGGTAGTTAAGATCTCATAGTAAGTAGACCTGAGCTTTAACATCAGAACCTTTCAGCGGAAATGCCTACGAAACGCGGCAAACAAGACCGTGAAAGGCTCGGCTGGCAGGCTAACATCGGGTGCTGAGATCTCAGGACTGAAACAGTGCGAATCCCGTGCTGTCCCTGTGATCAAGTCTGTTTCCTTCTAACTTCCCCTTTGCAGAGTGGGGGCAGGAATCCAAGCACAGTGCAAACCACCTTCTGTGGGATCCCGGAAGTCCTTCGCGCTGCCTTGTGGGAAATGTAGTCCCGCACAATGTGACGTCACAATAAGGGGCTATGGACCCCAAACTTCCGCGTTCAGTCTTCTAACTTAGCTTCTCTCCAAAGTTAGGTGCTGGTCCTGCTCAGCGCTGCGCTTGGATCTCTGCCATGGAGGTTGGTGCACGGTGCAGCGCCGTCCTGCAGATCTGAGGGACTGTGCAAGATATGGGCTGGTTGGGAGGCAGGAGACCCAGACCTGGAGGTGCTGCTGTGCTGACCTGGGCTGGACCACTGCACCTGGGTGCAGGTTTGACAGGGGAGAGAGCGCTTTGGCAGAGCCACGTGCTGGGGTGTCCAGTCTCTTAGCACGCCCTGCTGCCCGAGTCCACCTGTGCTCCTGGGACTGGAGCTCTGCGTCAATAGTCAAGGATTGGAGAAAGTGGGAGAGAACAGGGTTTCAAGGGCAGTGAGGGTCTGTGACTCTCCTGTCTGCGGAGGGAAGGGAACTAACTTCCTTTCCTACTGGCTGGGGAAGTATGCTCTCCCTAGTGACCCTTGCTGTTTTGGTTGGCGTCAGATTTCTCTGGATTTTGAGACCATGTGTACAACTCATCCCTCCTATAATTTATAGCCTGTCTATTACTCCTGGTTTATGCCCAGAGTGGTTTCTAATGTACCTAGTTCCCAGAGACCAAGTCCTGTGAGTGCTGCTGTTGTATGGGATGTTGGTTCCCTTTCCTTTGGGATGATTTGTATGCCTCCGGTTAAATAGGAATCCCTGATGTGTACTCCTATGTTTAACCATCACATAAACATCCCGGTATAGTTTTGTAATAGGTAGTAAACGACCATTGAACAATCCATACAATTACAAATACATACTACACTGCAGAATGGAAGAGACTAGAAAATAATACTACACAAAAATTCCGTTTGATACTGTGTGATGTCAGAAGTTTGGACTCCTTTTCAGATGGGAGAGAGGACTTGGTGTGATAAGAGAAATGGACCTCATGATTGCCAGGAGAAGGCTTGAATGTCTCTGAAAGGGAGAGGAAAAACCGGCCCTGCTGGTCTGGCAGGCTGTGTACACTGACCTCTCATCACAAGTTATCATTCTGTCTTTTCACTTTATTGATAGTGTCTACACTCCCTTAAACATCTCTGTCACTGAATGTAGTACCCAGGTTCCCTGATGCTGTCTGAACAGTTCTGGAAAAGTTTGCCTAAGTTTTCATGCTGAGCTAGAGATAATAGAATGTAACTTAGAAAAGCTGTGGCCCATTCAGGGCCCTTTAATTTGCACGTAGAAGTTTCTTCCTCCTTTGACAACTGCTGCTCTAGTCTTAAAGGGACAGGAGATAGTTTAGCTTGGAGATATTTGTATGACCATGCCCTGGGAACAAAAATTAGGTTACCCTGAATAACATGCTCAGACATAGAAACAGTTTCATGGGTTCACAGAATGAAGAATATTATTAATCAAGGCAACTTTAAAGTGTATAGGTGGGTAGCCCAGGATGGCCGGTGATATGAGATGGGGGACCTATTCTATCTGCTTAAGCTCCTATCTAGTGACATTCTTGGCTTTTGGATTGATGGAAGTTCCTGTTCTGCCAAGTCAGTGGATTGTAAAAGTCCCTTTCATTTATTGTCACAAGCTTTTTACTCTCAGAACCTGCAAAATTCCAGTCTCTCCACAGTTCTGAACTTCCCCATGACCCATCAGTCTGCAGACACAGACTCTCAGAGTTTTTCACACACAGCCAGACACAGGTTCTTATCAATAATTTTCCTTCACAGCCCCTTCCTCTAGCTTCCAAGGCTGTGTGACAAGGGCGGGTGAGTGAGTCTCAATTGTTATTGCATATATTACTCAAGTGTTTGTGAGCTGCAGTCTGGCTCATGACATTGAAGTCTACTCTTAGGAAACACAGGCTTCCAGTCACCTTGTCCCATCTACTGGAATTCCCAGTGAGTTTCCAGCCATATATAAAATAATAGACACTTGCTATTATTGCTAATCTGTAGGGAAAATAGTATCATTCTGTGAAGTGGGAAAAACACACTGACTTCTATATCAAAACAGCTTCCTTACAATGTAGAGATTTTACAGCACCATACTCAAATGTAACATACCAGCCCCAAATAGTTTCATACATTTAAAATTAAGCATCATCTGTGGCACATCAATGTCCTCTCTGCATTTTGAGTATGAGTCAGGAAATCCAGACTTCAAAGTCATCCTCTACTTCATAGCAAATTCTAGGTAAGCCTAGTCTTCATTTTCTCTCTTTGAGTTACAACATTTCAGTCAGCGAGTCCAAGGACACTTTTCCAATTCAATGACATTTTTGAGTTCAAAAGTATGTTTCAATTTGTCAGCCACTATCAGAAACTGTAATCAGTTTTTTTTGTTTGTGGTAGGTTGACAACAAAAGAAACAAAGCCAAGAAAGAAATAGTCCTGAGCCCATGGATTGGAATCATTTTCAGCTTTTGAGTTAAAAATTTTTTGTCACTGAGTCCAAGAGTACATCCATGGTCATGTCTCTCCATAATTCGTGCCCCAGTATTGTTCCTAGTTTCCTTCATGAAGTCACATTGACCCTGCATTCTCGCTGTGGGTACCCTACTGTATCTCTGCAGGGGTATTTTGACCTTTATGTCTAGACATGGGGGAGCTAGAAGGCAGTCCTGCCAAATGAAATTCGGTAGCAGGTATTGGTTCAAATGTCAGGAGTGTGACCCCCTAGGGAAGGATTTTATGCACATCTACACACAAGCACAATTAGATGAAAATTCTTATGGTTATAATTAACTCAGTCCCGCATGCACAACCAAGCATACATGAATCATTTTGAGGAAGAAAGTAAGCTAAATACAGAACATATGTGGCTATGAGGATACTCTTTGTAAAGTCTACATAGATAAGTTCTATAGATTTAATGAGAAAAACATATAAACTAATTTATTAGGGTCTGGATAGGGACCTGTGACAGAATCAGCTCTAGCCACAGATGAAACATAGGTCAGAAGGCAAAATCCACTCTAGGCTTCTGGACAGGAAACAGGTTTTGCATTCCTTCCCTTAAAGGAGGAATCCTGAATGCTTTGAATTGCAGGTTCCTCAAGTGCATATGTGCATACATAGACCTCTGTGCCCAATACATATCCCCACAAGGGTCTTCCTTTACCTTCCTGGTTTCTGCAGTTGTTCCAGGATGTGCAGAAACATCTGAAGATTTAGAGCAAGGAGGTCAGATGACAAAGGTCATGCAGTGTTTGTCATCATGGATCTGGGCTACTTCACGCAATATGATCTTTTCTTGTTCCATCTATTGACCTGAGACTCTTATTTTCTTTACAGCTGCAGAGTATTCCATAGTGTATATGTACCACATTTTCATTATCCATTGGTCAGTTGAAGGATGTTTGTGTCATTTCCATTTCCTAGCTCTTATACATAGAACAATAATAAACATAGCAGAGCAACTATCTATGGACTGAATGTCAAGGTCTTTTAAACTACTCCAAAGAGTGGTATAGTTGGGACATATAGGAGATTTATTTTTACCTTTTGGGAATTCTCTATAGATTGATGTTTCCTGTCCTGACCAGTCACTCCTCGTCCTGGTAGCTGCTTCCTAATTACTACACAGAAGCTTAATATTATTTGTAAATGATCAGTCAATAGCTCAGGCTTATTACTAACAAACTTTTACATTGAAATTAACCCATGTAATATCATGGTACTATGTCAGACTTGTTTTAGGGAAATTGCTTACCTATATTAGCAATGCTTCTAACTCTCCTCCTTCTTGATGACTTTTAGAATTGTATGCAGAAGCACATGATGCCTCTGTGTATGTATGTTATTATTGACAGTTTTAATAAATGCAACTTGTGGTATTCATTCGTTATTCTTTATTTCAGGATATTCTGTCATTCTGGGATGTGACCATTTATTTCTCTGCCGAGGAGTGGGAATGCCTGGGCCCTGCTCAATGGAATCTGTACAGGGAGGTGATATTGGAGAATTATAGCAATCTGGTGTTCCTGGGTGAGGAGCTTTTCCATGATAAATTCTTAATAATTGTCAGCATGAAACTTGCTACCTTTGAGAATATCTGATGGGAATTTGTACTTACAACAGTGAGTGGTAATGTTGGAAATTAAGTGGCATGAGCAGGGTATGTACACACTTAAGAGAATTTCACACTCTTCAGTTTTAATATTTTTCCTTATAACTGAGGGACATGAAGCTCAAGATCTTCAAATCCTAAATTCCTCCAAAGCATTCTGATGTGAAGAACTAACTCTCTGCTATTCTTTATTGTGTCTTCTCATTCTTTCTGTACAATCCTGGAGAGGACATGTTATTCCCAGGAGAACATGCTAACAATGTTGTTCCCTTTTCATACAAACAGGTCTTACTTCATCAAAGCCATATCTGGTGACATTTCTGGAGCAAAAACAAGAGCCTTTAGACATGAATAGACAAGCAACTGCCACCATGCAGCCAGGTGTGTAGGGATTAGGGGGTCGGTGGAGATCAATGGTCCAATAGGAATCTGGGCTTTATCCTGACCATTGAGACAAAAGGTTTTGGTGGAAATTATTTTCTAGGGATATCCTTTCTATCCTTTGCTTTCTAAGGGGAGCATCTTTCAGATGCTTATGATGCTTTCTAAGGAGAGCATCTTTCAGATGCTTATGATGCTTTCTTCAAGTCTCCCATGCTTAGTTCTCCTCCTCCCATAAGGCCAACTTGTGTTTATTGTGACTCCAAAGCTCTCTCATTTCTAAGCGAACTAGGCTTATTTTTCATATTATGATTTTCTTGGGTATTTACTTTCCTCTTAAAACATGCATAAAATCTTCCTGTCTTAAATCTTTGAAATGTATTATTTAATATTGTAAATACAGTCTTCTGGTTATCTAACCTAACTTTTATACCTTACAAAAATAAAGCTCTGTTTTAGGATATGTATAAATTATGTATACATGTGTTTTCCACATTTAACTACTTTTATACTTTGTGTTTATCTAGTCATTATATATACATATACGTATACATATACATATATATATATATATATATATATATATATATATATTTTACGGGACTGATTTCCATTAGTGTAATACTCTTAAGGGTCTTATTAACTCTTTTTGTTATGTCTTCATTCCATGTTTGACTTTGATTATTATTTTCGTTGTTGTTTTTCTATGTTCTATGTTGCCATGGTCTTATTTCAAAGTAAGGTTACATGATTTCTAGCTATTGTGTTTTTTAACTATGCTCCATTTAATATAGCTATAGAAATTTTTATAGAGCCTATCATTTACAAAAGGAAATGCATGTATAATAATTAGTAAATGTTTCTGTTTTTAAAAATAAGCACTGTGACTATAAAGAGGTTTGCTTAGCTTTCATTAATTTCTTACCAGGAAAAGAACAATATACAGGCAAAGAACATGATAAAACCCTCCATTGGGACTCACCACATACTAACCAGCAGATGACACATTTAAGAATGAAGCCCTATAAGTGTGAAGAATGTGGCAAGTCTTTCTGTTTCCCATCATTGCTTTCTGTACACAAGAGAACTCATACAGGAGAGAAACCCTTCAAGTGTGAAATATGTGGCAAGGCTTTCCACTCCCCATCATTATTTTCTGTACACAAAAGAATTCATACAGGTGAGAAACGCTACAGGTGTGAATTATGTGGCAAGGCCTTCCATTGTCCATCATTACTTTCTGTACACAAGAACATTCATACGGGTGAGAAACCCTATAAGTGTGATATCTGTGGCAAGGCCTTCCATTGTCCATCAGTACTTTGTAGACACAAGAGGATTCATACAGGGGGAAAACCCTATAAATGTGACATATGTGACAAGGCCTTCCATTGTCCATCAGTACTTTCTGACCACAAGAACATTCACACAGGAAAGAAGCCCTACAAGTGTGAAGTGTGTGGCAAGGCCTTCCATGCTCCACCATTACTTTCTGCGCACAAGAGAATTCACTCAGGACAAAAACCTTACATGTGTGAAGTATGTGGGAAGGCCTTCCATACCCCGTCATTACGTTCTGTACATAAGAGAATCCATACAGGGAAGAAACCCTATAAGTGTGAAGTGTGTAGTGAGGTCTTTAGCACCTCCTGGCAAATTTCCAGTCACTTGGTAATCCATTCTGGAGAGAAGCCATACAAATGTGAGGCGTGTGGAAAAGCCTTCTCTGCGAAGTCATACCTAACAAAGCACAAATTACTTCACAATATGGAGAAACTTTATAGATGCGAAGAATGTGGCAAACAGCTCAACAGTTCTAGAAGCCTTCAAGAGCATCAAAGAATTCATTCTGGAGAGAAGCCCTACAAGTGTAAAGACTGTGGTAAAGACTTCAGAACTTACACAGCACGTTCTAGACATCGGACCGTTCATATTGGAGAGAAGTGTTACAAGTGTGGAGAATGTGGCAAAACCTTTTACCAGTCCTCTGGTCTTAAGCAACACCAAAGAAATCATCTGTGAGAGAATGCTCACTAGTGTGAATAATGTGCCAAGGTCTTTTGGGACACCTAAAATCCATACTGGAGAGAAATGCCTTGAGTGTGAAAAATGTTGCCAACTCTTTCATAAGCTTTCTTATCATCTCAACACAAAGTAGCTCAAACTGGAGTAGAACACTACAAATTTTAAGGTGGTCATAAAATGTTTTACACTTCTTCAGACTATAAAAAGGTATCAAAATTTTCATTCTTAATAGAAGCCCTAATGGTAAGGGATGTGGTAAAGCTTTGGAATAATTCAGACCGTAACCATCACCAAAAAATACAGTGAAAGGCATGTAAAGAATGTAGGGAGTGTTCCATGGAATGAATGCTTTCTGACCCCCATAGGATTTATACTGAAGAGACACCGCAATGGTGAAGGCTATGGCAATGCCTTTAAAGGTCCCTCATTAAGAAAAAAGAAGTTCTCACACTTGGCAATACCCCTGCTGTGCAAGAGTCTCTGCAAACATGGAGTGTGCCCTGGTGCTTACCTGTTCTTCATGCCTGTTTCCACATCATAGAGTTCATATTGGTATAGTGCACTACAAATGTTAAGATTGTGGCAAGACCTTTATCTGGCTTTCATATCAGAAGTGTTCTCTGAGTCTTTACACTAGTAAGAAACTCTACACTAATGGCAGTGGTGGCACACACCTTTAATCCCAGCATTCTGGAAGCAGACGCAGGCAGATCTCTGTGAGTTCGAGGCCAGCCTGGTCTACAGAGCTAGTTCCAGGACAGGCTCCAAAGCTAAACAGAGAAACCCTTTCTTGAAAAACCAAAAAAAGAAAAAAAAGAAAAGGAAAAGAAAAAAATGAAGGAAGAAAAGAAAGGAGGAAAGAGAGAGAAATTCTGTACACCTAAAACTGTGGAAAAGCCTTCAACAATATCACTAATCATCATCAACACAAAAGTCTATACATACAAATAACTCAGGAACACCTTATGTAATATTTTTAATCTTCATCAACACCAATTAATCTTCACTGATGAGATGCTCTACAAATGCAGATGTCCTATTTCCTTCTGTTTTCAACTTCACAGACAAGCAATATGTGACGGAGTCTCTATTGGATGCCTGGATCTGATTGACCCTTAGTCATGTCTGCAGGTCATTTTCATGAATTCTAATTGACATAAGAGTATCTAGACTACGGGATGAGGGCAGTGCACCTTGCATGTGCCAATCTTGGGGATTTGGTTTCTACTTCATCCCTGTTGCCTCTGTATTTCTGCTGTGTTCTGTCCTGGCTTTCATGGATGGAGTGCACCCAGTGAGCTGCAACAATCCCTTTCCTCCCCTATGTAGTTTTTAATTGTGGTGTAATCACACCAGCAGAACAAAACAATGAGGGAAAGCTTTCTACTCTTCTTTCTACATTAGTTATCATCAGAGCCTCCACACTTGAGATGATGTCACAGGGCTTTGAGCATCCATTAACCTTAATTCTGCTCCAAAGCATTCCTAGGTACAAAATCCCCTACTGTTACAAAGAAAAGTACAGAGTTTATTGGTTGTTTGTTTGTTTTTAATCAGGATTTGAAAACCACAAACAGGATTTGAACATCACAGACAAATCTGTGAAAAGAAACTCAAATCTAAACTCATGAATCATGAGAAATTCATATCAGAAAATTTGTTTTGTGGGGAAACCCTACAAAGAAAAGTAATGTGGGAAGCTTTTGATTTAAACTCCGTTCTAACTAACCATGTGTGAATTCATATTATGGAGAAACCTCCAAAATGTGACTATGGCAGTAACTTTGTACAACATAGAGCAAGTTACTTACAGCAAAAAACATTGTGTGAAGTGTCGGGAGCTGTCTTGGCGGGGCTGCAATCGGAGCCAGCGGAGCAGCCCCAAGTCTGTACCTGAGTGGGGGAGTGTGGATAAGGGAAAGGCTAGCCATAGACAATAAAGAAAGACAAGGACGAATAAAGGTCAGGAGGGCAGATCAGTCAATACTGAAATGCCACGAGTTTATTTTTCACCACTCCTATATACCATAACTTAAAAGTGGAACACAGTATCATGTATACAGAACAGAGTTTTCTTCCTTTCTCATTCTAAGGGTTCAGGAACCACACCTTCGCTCTAACTTCTTCCCTAGCCTTAAGGTCAGGAGTAGCCATACCTCAGATTCAACATCTTCTCCCTTAGCCTTAACAGTCAGGAGTAGCCACACCTTAGATTTGGGTCTGTTGTTATTTAGACTAAGATGGCTGAAACATCCTTCTGTAGCCACACCTTTGATCTTTAGGTCTTGTGACTTGCTGACAGCTTTGAACTCTCTGTCCTTGTGCCAAGATGGAGTGCAGCCATCTTCATGGGCACCCACAGTGAAGGCAAAAAGTAGCAAAGTTCTTCATCCTCACTTATAAAGTAATGGCTAGAGGGGAATTATTGTTAATAGATCAATCCTGTTACTAATGAATGTTGGAAAATGTGAGGTGTTGCTTAGGATTAAAGTGACATTGACTTGATATGCTTTTGATATGCTAAAAAATGTCATTACTTTCAGAAACGAAACAGTCTTGTAAACTTTAACACAGCTAACCTTTCTAAGATTCAATCACATGACTTAGAGAAAGTTCACGGGGTGTTCTTTTTTTGTTTTGTTTCTTGGAGGCTTTTTTTTTTTTAATTATTATAGCTTGTTAGTTTTTGTTTCTCTGTGTTATAGCCTGACTGTGAAAGGATGGAAAAATACAGCCTCACCAATGACCACAGGAAGCTAGAAGTTTAGAAATACTATCTAAAAAGCCCTAAAAACTTCAAATTCCAGACCCTGTCCTCTGCCAGTAAATAGGGAAGGTCACACTCCTTTCTGTTTACGGAAGACAGGCCCTTGAGTACGTAATATTGGCCCAGTAAGATAACAGAAAATGTGCTGGATAACTGCTTATCTGACTTTGTAAACTGTTTGTGAAACCCCCTCCCCAGTGACCTATGTGTGGCCTTTGTTGTAAACCCTATAAAAATTGTCTCAATTCTGTCCTCGAGGTCCTCAGTCCTCTACTCCTGCATGGCATATGACTGTGGACCCCAGTGCACTTGCAATAAAAACTCCTCATGATATTTGCATCAAGACTGATTCTCATGAGTGATTCAGGGAGTCACCTTTTCTGTGTGGGAGCGTGAAGATTCATACTTTGCGGGTCTTTCAACTGTCCTGTAACTCTCTTTGTAGACCAGGCTGTCTCTGAACAACCAGAGAGCAATCTGCCTCTGCCTCCAAAGTGCTAGGATTAAAGGCATGTGCCGCATGCCTAGCTATTTTGTTGGGTTTTTTTTTTTTAATACTGTACAACCAAATTATTATATGGTCCAGAACATTGCAGATGCCAAGAGAATGAAGGAAGTAAGTACAGGACCTGCTAAGGAAAACTACAAGCAATGAATGGAGTGTGCTGAAGGGAGAAGCTGGTACTTTCAGGCAAAGCTGGAAGGCTGGGCACTTAAGTCCTGTGAAGTCATCACCAGTACAGCAGTTTCAGAAAGGTGTCAGGTCCTGCATTTGCCCCTCTGAATTTTGGGCTGATACTTGCTGTGATACATTTCTTCCATTTTAGAATCAAAATGTTTGCTCTGGGTCAGTGTGTGATGGAAGTAGTCTCTTTTTATCTTGAAGGAACTCACAATGAGGAAACTGCCTTGAGTCTTAGATTAGATACAGACTGGGGCCTTTTAGGCTCTTGCAATTGTTAAGTACTTTGTGGAGCTTTCAAATTGGATCCTACTTTGTGAATCAGATGTTCTAATACTGGGGAGAAGGAAAAGAATATTAGGATTTAAAGTTAGGCTACTGGAGTAATGATGTCTTTGAAAAGAAATGGGATGGCCAACAATACCCACAACTGTATTTGTATTCATAACAGAAATAGAGAATTATCTCTGACAATTGTCCTCTGACCTCCAAGCTTGGACTCCAACACACACACACACACACACACACACACACACACACACACACAAAACTAAATTGGGTTTTTAAAGTGCATTTTTGTTTCATATAGAGAAGAGATGGGGAAGTAATGCATAAGTCTCAATTATTAACATTATGGGATGTGTTATATGAGAAGCAAGTCTCTGGTAATTCCTTTCCAGGGGTCATCTTCAGTACTTTACTGCTGGTCAAAAGACTTGTTAACTGTGGGTGGAAGCAGCTGTTTGACTGAACCCTTCATGGTATAAGAATGAGAAAACACCCTGAGGATAAGCAGTGTTCACTCAGAAGCAGTTCCTTGTGAATCAGTAGCCATCATGGAATCATGAAATCTTCCTTCTGTTGGGTGTTCTATCATTGTCTAACCCATGACCTGCACAGAAATCTTCCAAAGAAGAAATGGGCAATCTCAGTCCTCCATAGGCCCAATATAGCTTCTTCACTAAGTGAGCTCACTCAATAGTCCTAAGAACTAACACATTCCTGACTCCTTTGTATGCAAGTAGGAATCATCTCTGTGTTCTGCTTAGCACAAATGAGGGAAGGTCACTGAAGATACTATTATGTTCAAGACAGTATCAAATACGAACAGTGTCAGGATCAGAGGAGAGGGAAAATTCAATAAGGAAGATGAAATGTAACTCAGAGGGAAACCCTACAGTGCATGAGGAACCAGGAGTCAGTGCACACCCAGTGCAATCCCAGGAGCTGTGCCCTCCTCCTGGGGGACGTGCAGAGGAGGAGAACACCTGGTGCTGACTCCTTGCCTGAGTAGTGAGAAGCCAAGGAGGAGTGTGTGAGGTCTTTGTGGAAGAGCAGACCCTGAATTTATATTTATTACACAGGTTAATAGGTGAACGTGTGGGAAAGGAATATACAGATAGACAGAAAGATCTGGGATGGATTCTGGAATTTCATTGCAAGTAATCGTCAGGGATCTGCAGTTTCCACTTTGTTCAATGACTTTAAACATCTGTGTACCTGACCCATGCCCTTCACTGTGTGGATTCCAGGGTTCATATAAACCCCATTCCACCTGTGGAGTCTGGTCCATGCGTGGCTCACACTGTGTAAGCAGAGGATATTAAAGAAAAGTCATCTTCATCATAGCTGTGTGCTTT